GCTAACAGGGAGACTAAGTAAAGTTCAGTATGTCTTTGTAGCTCATTTTATCCGAGGAATACAGTTAAATACCACACATTAAGATCAGTTAAAAAAAAGTATTGTCTCTTGTAGTTTTGTTTCCAGTCGGAAAAACAAATGCATCTGTTGACATTTATTTTCAACTTCAGGGATTGCCTGCCTCCTTTTGGGTCATGTGAAATATTTAGGTGATTTAAAAGTAGAGAATGTAAACGGTGCCTTCAGACAAGCCTCTGTCCCTCCTGCTCTGTTCTTCCCTCCCCCGGAGGTGACCGTTTTTCAGTTCCTGGTTCATCTTCTCAGGGATTCTTCTGTAAATAGAAGCAGACGTACATGTACACACGCCCCCGACCTGACTCTACGCTAAGCCTCATAAGGAAGCCTTTTTCTCCCTCTGACCCCATGTCCGTTAGAGTCCAGTGTGCCTCGTCTTCCTTGTGTCTCTCCCGTTTTTACTTTGTGTATTTTGTTGTTAAAATGGTTTCTGGAACGAGCTTCCTCTAGACCCTTCCCTCTGACCAACTCATACTTCTGTCTCCTCCCTTTCTCTCCTTTCCCATGTTCGCTGAATCGCCATTCTCTCGTCTCCGTCTCTGCCCGGATCTCCTTTCTCGCTCCTGTGCTGAGCAGTTTCCCTCCCCTCCCAGCGGCTCTCCCTCACAGTGAAGACCCATCGTTCCTCCGACCTTCGTGTTCCTCGGGGACCCAGCACCCTTAGTGCTCTTAGCACCCTTGGGAACACTTTTCTTAGTCACTTGCAGCTCTGGGCTGACGGGCTCAGGTTCCCCTCGGGAGGCACCCTCCGGTTGGGGGTGCCTACTAAGTGGTGACTTGGGGGACCTGCAGCATGTTGGAGATCTGCCACCTGGGTCCGTTTGTCTGTTTGTGTCCGTCACTGGGCTTTTTCTTTTCCTCTTCTTGGAGGCCTCTTCTGTTTTTATTGGGAGATTCAAAAACGACCCTGATGCCCTGCTCTCCTCCAGCTCTCATCGTGTTAGCAATGAAAAGACTCAGAGGTGAAGTGAATTGTTCTTGGACGTCAGCTATCGAGAGAAGCAACCTGCTGGAACGCAGACTGACTGTCTCATTCAAAAGCTGTTCCTTGTGGACTCCTGCCGACAGTAGGGCTGTTTGCTTCCTGAAAGCTCGGGGTCTGCTGCACTTTCGGGGCTTCTGGGGGCCTGTGCAGAGTCTGGGAGGGGGGACTTGTCTGTGCGATGGGTCCCCCATTTCCCTTCACCCTCACTTCTGCCCCTCAGCAGCACTGACCACAGTCTGCGGAACCCCCAGCCCAGCCTCGTGCGAGTATGTTCACCCACAAAGGGGACTAAGGCTGGGGCCCAGACGAAATGTATTTGCCAAAGTGAGCTTGCTCTTGGGTCCACAGGTCCCACCTCTCCAGGAACGAGACAGTCCGTGCGGTGGGATTAGAAAGCTCCAAGGCAAGGAATCCATCCTGGGTCCTGGGACCCCTGACCAGAGGCCCGTCCCTGGAGGAGCCCGGCAGAAGTGCCAGAGTCCCAGGACAGAGCAGCTCCTCAAGTGGCTGTGTGTTTCTCAAGACCAGCCGAAAACCAGCGATTCTTGGGTGAGTTGCTTTTTTCTTTCCACATCTTGTCTGTGCCTGTTTTTGGTGGGGAGAGGGCTGGGGATTCTTAGGTGGGAGAGTTAAATTAACTTCAGGTCGTGTGAGATCTGTTTCCTGGTTTCCCCAGACTCAA